GCCCCCCATCAATAAAATTCAATAAAAATACATAACAAACTGAGGTTCTGTCCCTCCCTAACAAAAGGCCTACCCCCGCCAACAAAATTCCTGGCTACACCCATGACAACCGCCACACCTCAGCAACGAAAGGGTTTATCTGTGGATTTTATATATATTTACGCTCCAGCACACACCACTGGGTATATGTTGAAGATGTTCTCTGACAGCATAATTCCACAGGGAATCCCTGTAACCAAGCATGCATAACAGAGACTGGCTAGCTGGGGGTGGGTTGGGGGGGGCAGAGGGACAAGAACACACTGAAGGGGAAAATGGGGTTTAGCTTGCTGGACGAGATGCTATCCTTCTTTTGAACAAGAGGTTCTCCACAGAAAAATAAATGTGCAAATTAAAATGAAACGCCTTCTTTGTTTGGGGGGGGTGTTTAAGCATGAAAAAATATAATATAGCTGTAATAATAGGGCAGTTTATAGTACAATTGGTTAAGCCAGGGGTAGGCAACCCATGGGCCGGATGCAGCCCAATTGCTTTCTCAATCCGGCCAGCGGACAGTCCAGGAATCAGTGTGTTTTTACATGAGTAGAATGTGTGCTTTTATTTAAAATGCATCTCTGGGTTATTTGTGGGGCATAGGAGTTCGTTCATTATTTTTTTCTTCAAAATATAGTCTGGCCCACCAAATGGTCTGAGGGACGGTGGACCGGCCCAAGGCTGAAAAAGATTGCTGACCCCTGGCTTAAGCATTATAGTTGGGTGGTCAGCCCGTTCCTGTTCACTTTGTAGGGTTTTTAACACACAATAACTTGCTCCACTGTGCTTAAGCTTTTGGATTAGGATTCCTTCAGCCAATTTTCCAGGTCTGCTCTGAGGACTTTAACGGTAGCCTGTGTCCCACAGAAATGTAGCAGGCAAACCATTTCCCATCAGTTTACCTCCATGCTGGCTCTTGGTCACACCTGAATGTGACACTGGTGAGCCTACTCACCAGCAACTCAGGTGCAAGCAACCCTGGATACAAGTACCATACTTCTAAAGATTCAGGTGGATAGCCGTGTTGATCTGTCATAGTCAAAATAAATACAGTGGTACCCCGGGTTAAGTACTTAATTCATTCCGGAGGTCCGTTCTTAACCTGAAACTGTTCTTAACCTGAAGCACCACTTTAGTTAATGGGGCCTCCTGCTGCTGTTGCGCCACCGGAGCACGATTTCTGTTCTCATCCTGAAGCAAAGTTCTTAACCTGAAGTACTATTTCTGGGTTAGCGGAGTCTATAACCTGAAGCGTATGTAACCTGAAGCGTATGCAACCCAAGGTATCACTGTAACAAGATGAAAGACGAAAAAACCTTTTTTAATAATTCCAGTGGCACCTTTAAGATTAACTAAATATAAGCTTTCAAGGTATGAACTTTCATGTGTAATACACACTTCGTCAGATACACTGAAGCAGAGGTCGCTTCAACTTTATAACTGTTGATGACTGTTAATGGCAGTTGGTTCCACAAGGAAGGGCAAGGGATTTTTAAAGGGATAGATGACCAAAATTAGCTTTAGTATGTATAATGGGACAAACAGGACAAACTTTACGCCAAATGATAAATGGGCACAAATTTGACATCAGGAATCATAAAACAGAGAAACCAATAGGAGAACAATTCAATCTTCCAGGACATTCTGTACAAGATCTTAAAGTAGCTGTCTTATTGCAAAGGAATTTTAGAAATACACTTGAAAGAGAAGTTGCTGAATTACAACTCATTACCAGACTAAAAACTATGGAGAGAACTGTGGATTCATGTCCCATTATACATGCTCCGGAAGTCCAGTCTCCTCTTTTTCAAGATAAACATACGCAGCTCCTTCAACCGTTCCTCATAAGGCTTAGTTTCCAGACCCTTGATCATGTTAGTTACCCTCCTCTGCACACCTTCCAGCTTGTCAATATCCTTCTTAGCTTGTGGTGCCCAGAAGTGGACACGGTATGGACTAAACTAGATTCCCCTGGATACTCACAAGCCTTCTCCAGAAGTTTGTTTTCTAGCTTCTAATACACACAGATATACTGCCTCGGGACAGAGATGTTCCCTTGATTGTCATAGAAGAAGAAGAAGAGAAGAGTTTGGATTTGATATCCCGCTTTATCACTACCCAAAGGAGTCTCAAAGCAGCTAACAATCTCATTTCCCTTCCTCCTCCACAACAAACACTCTGTGAGGTGAGTGAGGCTGAGAGACTTCAGAGAAGTGTGACTAGCCCAAGGTCACCCAGCAGCTGCATGTGGAGGAGCGGAGACACGAACCCAGTTCACCAGATTACGAGTCTACCGCTCTTAACCACTACACCACACTGGTCACCTGAAGACCTTGCTTCCACAGGACATCCCTGTGGACCAGGTCTAAGTTTTGTCTTCTGGCAATCTGTTTCTAGCAAAGCAGCACAGACTGCTATCCTGCATAAAATAAAAGCAGTGGAGAGTGAGTTGGTGGGAACTCTAAAATAAATGGCTGTGGCTGTGAACAGAGGCAGATGGACTCTCATCACTTGGTTTCTTCCACTTTGCAGGGATGTTCCACCCCTTGGAGAACATGGACGTTGGAACTGGCTGGGTGAGAAATACATGAAAAAATCAGTTTAGAGCAGGAAGCTGGTCCTGGCAAACTCACTAGTGGATGTCTTCCCGGATGCTGTGATTATATAAAACTAGGGGGCTACTAGACAGCAATTAATGACTGCCGTGAGGAGTGAGTTTACGGGTGAACAAAGGAGCAAGGCAACCTTTCTGTGCTACGGAAGCTAATGTTTATTTATTAGTGCTATGCCACAATGCTTTGATGAAGATATTTCTGTAGGCAAATTAGGGATTCTTCGTTAGACTTGGCTGTTCTGTCACCATAAAACAATACTGTGGTACCTCGGGTTACATATGCTTCAGGTTATAGATGCTTCAGGTTACAGACTCCGCTAACCCAGAAATAGTACCTCGGGTTAAGAACTTTGCTTCAGGATGAGAACAGAAATCATGCGGCGGTGGTGCGGCGGCAGCAGAAGGCCCCATTAGCTAAAGTGGTGCTTCAGGTTAAGAATGGACCTCCGGAACGAATTAAGTACTTAACCTGAGGTACCACTGTAAATCGTCATTTTAAATAAAGAATGAAAATTTTGATTTGGTTGGCCCAGTTATATAGATTTGAGGTGAAACGTGTTCCAGAACACCCCAAGAGATCTGGGTGCAAACACCATACATTTAAAACACTAACGTCTCAACAAATGAAACTGATCTGTAGAAAATGTAACTTGAAAAAAAGAGACATTGCACATACTTTTGTAAACCAAGAAATCTTTAATAAAAAAATATGGAGAGGAAAAAAACCCTTTCCCAATGAATCCTGGGAGCTGGAGTTTACCCCTCACAGAGCCACACTCCCCAACACATTTAACAAACCACAGCACATCCAACCTGAAATAAATATTATCCAATATGGATTTCCCCACTAATTAACTCAAAGCACAATCCATTGGGAAGTTCCCTGGGGCTTGTGCAACACAATGGCTTATGTCCAGCGGGCCAGATCTGTCTGCCTCTCCGGTTTCCAGTCTGCATGGCACCCAAAACCCACCAGCTGAGGCACTCGCCTCTGTGCTACAACCTGAACACGGGAGGAGCAAAAGTACATACGTAAGTTCCAAGGCTGAAAATGTCACTTAATTAATAGATGTCTCCTTAATAATTTAAACGTCTTAATTTTGAGGTTTTTAAACAAGGGACACACACACACACACACGTACATCACATTTCAGCCACCAAAGAATGCTGAGAATTGCAGTTTTCCCCTCACGGCGCTACAATTCCCAGCACCCTTAAGAAACTATGTTTCCCAGGATCGGGGCAAGGAATGTGCTCTAAATCTATGGTGCCCAGGCTGCCTAGAATCATAGAATCATAGAGTTGGAAGAGACCACAAGGGCCATCGAGTCCAACCCCCTGCCAAGCAGGAAACACCATCAGAGCACTCCTGACATATGGTTGTCAAGCCTCTGCTTAAAGACCTCCAAAGAAGGAGACTCCACCACACCACACTCCTTGGCAGCAAATTCCACTGTCGAACAGCTCTTACTGTCAGGAAGTTCTTCCTAATGTTTAGGTGGAATCTTCTTTCTTGTAGTTTGGATCCATTGCTCCGTGTCCGCTTCTCTGGAGCAGCAGAAAACAACCTTTCTCCCTCCTCTATGTGACATCCTTTTATATATTTGAACATGGCTATCATATCACCCCTTAACCTCCTCTTCTCCAGGCTAAACATGCCCAGCTCCCTTAGCCGTTCCTCATAAGGCATCGTTTCCAGGCCTTTGACCATTTTGGTTGCCCTCCTCTGGACATATTCCAGTTTGTCAGTGTCCTTCTTGAACTGTGGTGCCCAGAACTGGACACAGTACTCCAGGTGAGGTCTGACCAGAGCAGAATACAGTGGCACTATTACTTCCCTTGATCTAGATGCTATACTCCTATTGATGCAGCCCAGAATTGCATTGGCTTTTTTAGCTGCCGCGTCACACTGTTGGCTCATGTCAAGTTTGTGGTCAACCAAGACTCCTAGATCCTTTTCACATGTACTGCTCTCAGTACATGGTCCGATGCAGTTTGCAACACAACCCTCTGTAGGGCTACTCAAAAGCAAGTCCCCCATTGAATAATTCCACGAGACTTACTCCCAGCAGGGCAGGATTGCAGCCCTTATCTTGGAATATCTCCATCCTAGTCACACTCAGTAACCGAGATTCAGTGTCGCAATGAACCAGGTGCGGGGCTTGCTTCCGAGTAAATGCGCAGGAGATTGTCCCTGGCTCTCCCGGCTTTAAAGCATGAACAGGTACATACTAACGGACGGCCAGAGGGGCTATTCTGATTGGCCAAGGGGAGCGCGCGCCGCCTACATTCCGCCCTCTGCGTTCTGTCCCCGCCTTTCTCCGGGCTGCAGTCGCCTAGCAACCATCCGGCATCAAAGCATCAAAACGCGGCGCTGCATCTGAAATCTCCCTGTCGCGGCGTTCGAAGCTGCGCGCCCTCCCACGCCCCTCTCCCCCTTCTCTTGGGTGCCAAGCCTGCTAGCACCATGTTGTACGAGATCCTGGAGATGGGGCGGCGGAAAAAGGCCCCCCCGCGCTACATGTAAGTTGCTCCAGCATCCCTTGACAGGGGGCTCTGCGGGAGTTGGCTTTGCAGAGGCAGCCCCCCTTCCATCCCCCAACCAGAATAAGGAAATATTGATTTTAAAAGACCCCCAGATATTCAGCCCACCCTTGTGCCAGGAGGGTGCCAGGGCTGGTTTGGAGAAACCCTGCATGAAGGGTATTGTGGCAGTGCCAGATTTATGTATAAGTTAAACAAGCTATAGCTTAGGGCTCCACTCTTTTGGGGCCCCCCCGAAAAATTCAGTATTAATATACTTTATCTTAATTGTATTGCAGCTCAACAATCACTTTGATAAAATACATATTTTGTTATGTGCAAATGGCTTTAGATACCTGTTAGGTCCATAAATTACCATACAGTGGTACCTCGGGTTACATACACTTCAGGTTACATACGCTTCAGGTTACAGACTCCGCTAACCCAGAAATAGTACCTCGGGTTAAAAAATTTGCTTCAGGATGAGAAAAGAAATCGTGCAGCAGCAGCGCAGCAGCAGGAGGCCCCATTAGCTAAAGTGGTGCTTCAGGTTAAGAACAGTTTCAGGTTAAGAACTGACCTCCAGAACGAATTAAGTACTTAACCCAAGGTACCACTGTATAGCATATACAGTGGTACCTCAGGATGCGAACGGGATCCGTTCCGGAGCCCCGTTCACATCCTGAATGCAACTTAAGACGCGATGGTGCACACGTGGGTCACGTTTTCCCGCTTCCACGCATGCGCGTGACGTCATTTTGAGCGTCTGCGCATGCGCGAGCGACAAAACCCGGAAGTAACATGCTCCTTGCATCCGGGTGCCGCGGAGCGCAACTTGAACACGCTCAACCCAAAGCACATTCAACCCGAGGTATGACTGTAAAAGGTAAAGGGACCAATGACCATTAGGTCCAGTTGTGGCCGACTCTGGGGTTGTTGCGCTCATCTTCCTTTATTGGCCGAGGGAGCCGGCGTACAGCTTCTGGGTCATTTGGCCAGCATGACTAAGCCACTTCTGGAGAACCAGAGCAGCGCACGGAAACACCATTTACCTTCCCGCCAGAGCAGTACCTATTTATCTACTTGCACTTTGACATGCTTTCAAACTGCTAGGTTGGCAGGAGCAGGGACCGAGCAACGGGAGCTCACCCCGTCGTGCAGATTCGAACCGCCAACCTTCTGATTGGCAAGCCCTAAGCTCTGTGGTTTAACCCACAGCGCCACCAGCGTCCCTACTCAGCACAAAAAACAGTGGCAATTTGTTGTTGACAAAGGACAGCTGGACACATAAAGGGCCCCATTACCTTCAGTAGCTTAGGGCCTCATCAAACCTAAATCCAGACCTGACTGTGATAATCTCCGCAAAAGGGGCGATGATCACGGTTTTAAAAGCTTTGAAAGTTTGCTCTTTTCAAAATAAAATAAAATAAAATAAAAATTAAAGCTTTTAAATAATCTTTAAAAGTTTGCTGCTTTCAAAAATAACAAGTGAAACCTGCCAGAGCTTCTTGGCCCTGAAGAGCTCTAGGAGAGGTAGGTTTACAGTGTCTACTTAGAACCAAGTCACAGTGGTTTTAGTTGGGGCTTACACCATTGTAAGTAGAGGACCACAGCTTCAGTGTTTCCTGCGTGCAGTGGCATAAAAAGGCATCGCTTCCTGAACCTCACCTGCTTTCCTGTTAGCTGTGAAAAGGCTCCAAAGTCTTGCTTGATTGTAGGGAGGTGGTTGCTCTGTTTTCCAAATCTCCATCTCTCCTTTCAACTAATAATTCAAAGTATTCCTTTGGTCGTATGTCATGAAGCAGTATTGCAGCCTTTCTGCATTGTTGCTGTACTGTTGTTGTTGTTTAGTCGTTTAGTCGTGTCCAACTCTTCGTGCCCCATGGACCAGAGCACGCCAGTCTTCCACTGCCTCCCGCAGTTTGGTCAAACTCATGCTGGTACCACTGTACTAGTTTCTGACGCAGCTTTTGATGGGCATTGGGTAACAAATTTCAAGTGTATTCCATGCTGGCAATGTTCCTGAGCCAGGAATGCAGTTACAGAAATAATTTTGTTTTGTTCAAGAAATTTATACAGTGGTATCTCGCAAGACGAATGCCTCGCAAGACGGAAAACTCGCAAGACGAATGCCACGCAAGACGGAAAACTCACAAGACGAAAGGGTTTTTTGTTTTTTGAGCTGCTTCGCAAGACGAATTTCCCTATGGGCTTGCTTCGCAAGATGGAAACGTCTTGCAAGTTTGTTTCCTTTTTCTTAACACCGTTAATACAGTTGCGACTTGACTTCGAGGAGCAACTCATAGCACGCGGTGTGGTAGCCTTTTTTGAGGTTTTTGAAGACTTTGGTGATTTTTGAAGCTTTTCCAAAACTTTTCCGACACCGTGCTTCGCAAGACGAAAAAAATCGCGAGACGACAAAACTCGCGGAACGAATTAATTTCGTCTTGCGAGGCACCACTGTACCCTGCTTTCCACAATTTGTCTCAAAGCAGCTTAAAAAAAGTGTAGAGCATAAAATACACAGAACTTAAAACATAAGCTAGAATATCAGAAGACGGCAAATGCTGGAACAGCATTCATATTCCAATAATGAAATAAAACCATTTTAACCTGGCACCTGTAACATATCGGGGACTGTGCCTGCCTGATTTGTAGTGGGAGGAAGTTAGGCCTACAGCACTAAAGGCACCTTACTCTTGCTGTAACAGGCTTTGCCTGTATTCCTATCCCCCAGCTCTCATACCAAAGCCAAATCAATGCGTGTTTTATCAAAGTGTTTTATCTTCACAACAAGTGGAAACAGTGCAAGTAGTCCTCTGAGGATAATTTGGGGCAAACGGTTAATTTTTTTTTAAAAAAACCCCTCATTATTCCCGCCCCCCCCACAAAAGCAAACTCCTAAAGCAACTTAACAGCAATAAAGTATACCCATACTAAACTCAATAAAGTATACCCATACTAAACCCATACTAAACTCACCAAACTCACAAAACGTATTAAACCTCCATCAGGTGATACCGATTTCATAAAACCATTTATATTTTTCTTACCAAAACAAACAAACAAACAAGCAAACAAACACATACCTCCCACTTGCCCCCAAAGCTTTCCAGTACATAAAATAAAAACAAACCCTTCTAGTTCGTAAGCTAGAACAGATGCACTCGGTTATTTGAGACCAATTTTCTTCGCTCACAAGAGCTATGAAAAATGATGCAGCTCTCTAACCCTTGGCATTGTCCACCCAGGCAGCTGTTCCCAAACGAACAGCGTGTCATGACAGGCAACTGTCAAAAGGCCGCTGCTGGCCACCCAAACTCACTTCTCGCAGTGAGTGATGCTCTTTTGTCCCAGAGCATGTCTCTGCATCAGCTGTGATTGGATAATCCAGTCACATCTGGTGCAGAGGTGCAGCACAATTGCTTGTCATCAGCAGGGGCTGCCTGTTTTATCTCTCCATGAGTCCCTCCTCTTAATATTTCCATGGCATCAGGGGTCAGGGATAATTCTTCTCTTCTTGCCATCTCTACCTGTTCTTCTCTCCCTCTGGCCGAGAGAACAGGTAACACGGGCAAGGAAAAGAAATAGCAGCTGCTTCTGGCTCTTCAAGGAGAGGGCACTTAGAACTGCATGCAGAAAGGCTGAAGTCATTGCTTTTGTGACTTGGGACAAGGGTCTTGCCCCATGGCCCCTGAAAACAAAGTGATAAATGAAAACTGGGGCTTCCCTCTTTCTTGCCTGGACAAATGCCCCTCTCTATCCTCACATAGCAGCAGGACCTGCCTACCCATGGGGCAAGAGATCCACCAGGGCAGCAGATCCCAATGTCCTGATGTTCCTCATGTAGATGTTCCTGATATTCTTCTTCTTTGGCGATCACTCGTAGCTGAGTAAGATCGTCTTCCATAAATTCGGTTTTAACAGTAAGTCCATAAGTGATTGTGGAGGCCAATTCTGGACCCACATGTCCTTCCACAATGGGGACATAGGTTTCCGGGTGGGGGTTGATCATGGTGTGGATTTGCCAAGTGTGCCTTCCTTTTAGCACGTTTCTCCCTTACGTCCTGGGTTTGAGCGTCTTCAAAGTCCATGACACCTCTGGTAAAGGCTGTTCTCTAATTGGAGCACTCGCAAGCCAGTGTTTCCCAGTTGTCGGTGTTTATACAACATCTTTTTAGATTTGCCTTGAAAGAGTCTTTGAACCTCTTTTGTTGACCACCGGCATTACGTTTTCCATTTTTAAGTTCAGAGTAGAGTAGTTGCTTTGGAAGATGATAATCAGGCATCCGCACAATATGACCAGTCCAACGAAGTTGATGTTGAAGAATCATTGCTTTGACACTGGTGATATAGATCTCCCCTCACCCCTTCTTCCCTGGCAGGGAGAGGGGACTCCAATCTGGGGTCCACCTCAGGTGCCAAAATATCTTGGGCCAGCCTTGACTGAAAGTCTGTTCTATCCATTTAGAAGAGTCCAGAAACCCCGAAGTAGAAAACAGTCCTGCGCATGCACACACACATGCCAAAGCACATGGCATATATAGATAGATCTAGCAATACGTTCAATATCTTGAGAGCTTATTGACCTTGAATGGTGCTTGAAAACTGCCTTGCAGTAGGGCCCTTTGGAGACGACATCACTAAGTGCCTATAAAATGCAGGCCAGGGAGCAGTGGAGTGGGGAAGAGGTGGGGTTTTTCAGCTGAGAAGCAGGCACCAGGAGCAGATATGGGCCATTATTCGAGGATGCTATCAGGGGTGAGGAGGAAAAACCCATTAGAGACAAGGTAATGGAGATGCTGAGTCGACCCTCCAGTGTCAGAGCTCAAAGGGAGATGGGTGTCTTTGGCTTGACTTCCCAGCAAGCCGTTAATAAATCTGGGAGGAAGGGCTGTTGCTGTTGGAGGGGAAGGGTGAGGAACAGGAATGCGAAGCCTGGCAAGGTGGAATGTTGAGTGGGGACAGGCTCGCCCATTAATTTTAGAATGAGCCCTTCCTGAACAGCCGCTTATCAAGAACGAGGTATTTCAGACGCCCAGTTGCTGGAAGGCCGCAGACAAGGCACGGCAGACTCGGAGCAGGAAAGAGCGCAGGAGCTAAGGGTGTGTTCTTATTTCTGTCTTGGAACCCAGCAAAGTGCTCCTTCCCCCTGCCTGCTACATGCACTTCACATCGGTTCACATCTGTATGGCTTCGTTTCTGATTGCATACACCAAAATCAACAATAAATTTACAGCAGTGAAACAAACGTTAAACGCATCGCAAATCGGTAGATCAGATTTATGAAACCTAGACAGCATCTTAAAAAGCAGAGACATTACCTTGCCAACAAAGGTCCGTATAGTCAAAGCTATGGTTTTCCCAGTAGTGATGTATGGAAGTGGGAGCTGGTCCATAAAGAAGGCTGATCGCCGAAAAATTGATGCTTTTGAATTATGGTGCTGGAGGAGACTCTTGAGAGTCCCAAGGACTGCAAGAAGATCAAACCTCTCCGTTCTGAAGGAAATCAGCCCTGAGTGCTCAGTGGAAGGACAGATCCTGAAGCTGAGACTCCAGTACTTTGGCCACCTCATGAGAAGAGAAGACGCCCTGGAAAAGACCCTGATGTTGGGAAAGATGGAGGGCACAAGGAGAAGGGGATGACAGAGGACAAGATGGTTGGACAGTGTTCTCGAAGCTACCAGCATGAGTTTGACCAAACTGCGGGAGGCAGTGGAAGACAGGAGTGCCTGGCGTGCTCTGGTCAATGGGGTCACAAAGAGTCGGACATGACTAAACGACTAAACAACAACAACACAGCTGGATCACCCTTCGGGGAAAGCCTGAGTGGACAGGTGATGCTTCAGTAGGAACCTTAATGCTGATACTGGATGCCAATATATACACCAATTAACACAAGAAACGTTGTTTTCCTTGCTTGCTAGCTATGCTATGTTACCAAACTCCCATTACATTTCCCACTTACTCTTATTTTATTTCCGTTTTACCTTGCCCATATTGCTCAAATACATATTGCATTTGTTGTTGCAATTGTATTGTGATGGAGAGGCCTTTTTTTAACCAAATATCCATGCACTTTAAAAAACAAACAAACACCTCCTGTTTTAACTTGAGGGAGATATCCACACTTTAGAGCTGAACCTTCGGAAGTGGTTTTTCTGTGTGTGTTTTTAAAATCAGCGTCATTTCCAGGGTAGTAAATGCTGCCCTGCTTTCTCATATTTTTTTCAGCCCAGATTCCTACAGAGTACTTAACCTCGAGTTCCCAGAAAGGAATAAGGTGCTAGCTAAAACCGAAGAGGTACATGCGCCAAAGGAACAGCAGTATAAGCTGGAGTGCCGTAATAACCCTCAGCCGATACACGCAAAATGCATAAAGCTCAACACCAAGTTTTTAAATGTACTGTATATGGACACAGACAGCGCAAAATCAAAGCAGGTGAGGATTGCTTAGTGAAAGTGAGATCATGGTCCAGTTTTGCCACAGTGCTAAACCCAGACTGGGGAATCTTAGGCCTGAGGGCCAAATGTAGCCCTCTTGGTTTCTCGGTCTGGCCCTCAGGACTCTCCCCAGGCCACAACCCTCACTGGTCCTGCCCTGTACCCTCAAATATGTTTTGCCTGGTCCTGCCCTGTACCCTCAAATATTTTTAACAACAACAACAACAATAATAATAATAATTTTTTATTTATACCCCGCCCATCTGGCTGAGTTTCCCCAGCCACTCTGGGCAGCTTCCAATCGAGTGTTAAAAACAATACAGCATTAAATATTAAAAACTTCCCTAAACAGAGCTGCCTTCAGATGTCTTTTAAAGAGAAGATAGCTACTTATTTCCTTCACATCTGAAGGGAGGGCGTTCCACAGGGCGGGCGCCACTACCGAGAAGGCCCTCTGTCTGGTTCCCTGTAACTTGGCTTCTCGCAGTGAGGGAACCACCAGAAGGCCCTCGGCACTGGATCTCAGTGTCCAGGCAGAACGATGGGGGTGGAGACGCTCCTTCAGGTATACTGGACCGAGGCCGTTTAGGGCTTTAAAGGTCAGCACCAACACTTTGAATTGTGCTCAGGAATGTACTGGGAGCCAATGCAGATCTCTCAGGACCGGTGTTATGTGGTCCCGGCGGCCGCTCCCTGTCACCAGTCTAGCTGCCACATTCTGGATTAATTGCAGTTTCCGGGGCACCTTCAAAGGTAGCCCCACGTAGAGCGCATTGCAGTATCCAAGCGGGAGATAACTAGAGCATGCACCACTCTGGCAAGACAGTCCGTTTTTTGTGTACAAGAACCACAAATTTCTGCATGAAGGTAACTGGCACATCCATTTGCTTTTAGAACCGCCTGCCATTGCTATGTGGCCCCTGGAAGCCTGCCCATGAGGCAAAGTGACCCTTGGTGTGAAGAAGGTTCCCCACCTATGTACCAAAGCATGGTTTCGTCAGAAGGGGCGGGGGGAGAATTTTGGGAATTATAGGAGCAGAACTACCTAAATTGTATAGAAATTTATTTATGTGTGCTACTACAGCAGCAAGAATGCTACTTGCACAAAAGTGAAAAGGAGCAGAAGTCCCAGTAAAGGAAGAATGGATACAAAAACTTATGGAATATGCAGAAATGGCGAAACTTACCGGAAGAATAAGAAATAAAGATAGCAAGCTTTTTATAATAGAATGGAAATGGTTTATTGACTATTTACAGTTAAACTGTAAACAGATAAAACATTAGCAGGATTATGGTAATAACCTGCAGTTTCACAAGAGCATATATTTACAGTAGATAATGAAAGAAGCAAGTTAAATGTATATGCAGAAGATATTAAAAAAAACATACATTTAAGGAACCGCAGAAAGGGGGGGAGGGAGGAAGTCAAATTTTGAAATGTTAAATTGTTTGTAAAATTAATGAAATGTATAAACTTGGAAAGTATACATAATGGCAATTCTATAGGCTAGTTGTTGACAAATTAATTTATGTTCCCTAAAAAAGGAACATTGGTGGCCAAGCAGCGAGCCCTTTGTTGTGCCGTGCCCTAAACCACCTTACGACAAGCAGAGCACTCAAAGAAGTCATTTCCAGAAGCCAGCCTGTAGATTGATTCGGCCCCTTAAGTTTGACAATAAGCGGCAACCTTCGCGTGGAATAGGTAAGACTTTTAAGGGAAACCTTCCCTTCCCTTCTTTCTTTCCACCAAAACTAGACAAGTTAAAATATAAAGGTGGTTCAGCTTCTGCTTCTACAAAAGCATTGCTGTTGTTTAGTCATTTAGTCGTGTCCGACTCTTCGTGACCCCCTGGACCAGAGCACGCCAGGCACTCCTGTCTTCCACTGCCTCCCGCAGTTTGGTCAAACTCATGCCGGTAGCTTCCAGAACACTGTCCAACCATCTTGTCCTCTGTCGTCCCCTTCTCCTTGTGCCCTCCATCTTTCCCAACATCAGGGTCTTTTCCAGGGAGTCTTCTCTTCTCATGAGGTGGCCAAAGTATTGGAGCCTCAGCTTCAGGATCTGTCCTTCCAGTGAGCACTCAGGGCTGATTTCCTTAAGAATGGATAGGTTTGATCTTCTTGCAATCCATGGGACTCTCAAGAGTCTCCTCCAGCACCATAATTCAAAAGCATCAATTCTTTGGCGAAAAATTATTCTTTCAATAATCAATTCTTCAGTGAAAGCATTATTCTTTATTAAATCAGTGTTCCGCCCTTCATTACCAAGATGACAGGGTGGTTCGCAATATAAAAAATACAAAATGAGATCGCAAAATCCACAATGAAACAAAAGCGAGCCAATAACCCCTCTCCCATGAACACATTTCAAAGGCCATAGAATGTCTAGATTAGCCAAAGGCCTGGGAGAAGAGAGATGTTTTTGCCTGGCACCTAAAGATATTTAGTGAAGGCGCCAGGCGAGCCTCCCTGGGGAGAGCATTCCACAAATGGGGAGCCACCACAGAAAAGACCTGTTCTTGTGTTGCTGCCCTCTGGACCTCACGTGCAGCAGGCAAACGAAGAAAGTTCTCAGGTGATGATTGCAGTTTCTGGGTTGGTTCAGTTGCGGATAGGTGGTCTCTATCAGTTTGGCTGATATGATGTGGTCGAAACTATGACCTGTTGCATGCACAAGTGTAGTCGGAACAGAAAACAGCCAACAGATGTCAAGTGTTGCTTGACGGAAACGGAGATTGCTGCAGTAGTACATTTGCTTAAAAAATCAGGCTCCCTCGTGGCTGCTACTGAACTGTTATTGAACTTTTTGCCACCTCCAGGCAATGGCCACATGCTCCGCCATTGAGTGATGGCTCCAAAATCTGGGCACATTTCGCTGACCTCACATGTATTGATTCCTAATTCTCAGCTTCAACCACCTCCTGTGAATTCCGGTTTCAAGCTGATTTGTGATAGTGGTATTACACAGCAGAGGCAGATTTGCAGGAGTGCGACCGTTCGCCCACACTGGGTGCTGAGCCAAGAGGCCACTGTGGGGGTGTCGCAACAATTGCGAGCAATGGGAGGCGAGAGGTGTGGTGGGAGCACCAAATTTTGGTGTTGGCTTTGTTCCTCATAATCTGCACACACGTCCCATCGTCAGCTCTGTGTACAGTGCTTCAGAAGCCTGCAGCCAGAGAGATGGTAGTGGAAATGAGTTTCTACACCCTAGGCAACAACGATCCTATTCCAGTGCCTTCAACTCTTCCATTCTCAGTCTCCACTTAAATCACTTTCTCCTGATCACACAAGCAATGGGCACCTTTCAGTTTGATTGATGAAACACGAAGAACAGTAGCTCCCAGTTTGGGGGCTTTCTGTCTCACCCCCCACCCCCAATCAGGCTGCAATGTTAGCTTGCAGGTCTTTCCTTGTCCTTAGATCTTGGAGCAGAGTCTTTATGGCAGTATTAATTTAAGCAAGTTCTGCTGACTTTGGCGATTCAGTCTACAGAAACCATCGTTTCTGGCCTTCGTTTCCCATTGATTGGCAAAACCCTATTTTTTTTTTAAAAAAAAGTGATGTAAGGTACCGTATTTACTCGAATGTAATGTGCACCTTTTTAGGCCAAATTACCGTATTTTTTGCACCATAACACTCACTTTTTTCCTCCTAGAAAGTAAGGGGAAATGTCTGTGCGTGTTATGGAGGGAATGCCATGGGTGGCATGCCTACGGATTTTCCTCCTCTAAAAACTACGTGCGTGTTATGGTTGGGTGCGTGTTATAGAGCGAAAAATACGGTACATCGCAAAAATTAGAGTGCACATTAGATTTGGCGGCACATTTACATTCTCCAGCAAATGCTTTTTTGGTTTCAAGGTCTTGAAAATTGAGGTGTGCATTAGATCTGATGGGGCATTGTTGTTGTTGTTGTTGTTTAGTCTTGTCCAACTCTTCGTGACCCCCTGGACCAGAGCACGCCAGGCACTCCTGTCTTCCACTGCCTCCCGCAGTTTGGTCAAACTCATGCTGGTAGCTTCCAGAACACTGTCCAGCCTTCTCATTCTCTGTCGTCCCCTTCTCCTTGTGCCCTCCATCTTTCCCAACATCAGGGTCTTTTCCAGGGAGTCTTCTCTTCTCATAAGATGGCCAAAGTATTGGAGCCACAGCTTCAGGATCTGTCCTTCCAGTGAGCACTCAGGGCTGATTTCCCTAAGAATGGATAGGTTTGATCTTCTTGCAGTCCATGGGACTCTGAAGAGTCTCCTCCAGCACCATAATTCAAAAGCATCAATTCTTCGGCGATCAGCCTTCTTTATGGTCCAGCTCTCACTTCCATACATCACTACTGGGAAAACCATAGCTTTAACTATACGGACCTTTGTTGGCAAGGTGATGTCTCTGCTTTTTAAGATGGGGCATTAGATTCACATATACACGGTATTTCCTTCTGCTTCTCCTCCCAGGAGAACCTTCGGTTCTGCCTTTAGTCAACTTCTCCACAATAATTCAGCCCCACAATAGCTATTCAGCTTGTTTGCGAACGATGACGGATGGCTGAGCTATAGCAAGCAGCACATAGCCAGAGCATGACAACTCCAGTCACACTTCCATGTTTACAAGGGCGGCGGCGAGGATAGCTTCCATATGTGAGCGTGTTTGTTGGACTGCCAACATGGAGCCAGCTGTTTGTCTGGATTTGGGCTGGTCCTCTTCAAGGCAAGGGGACAGCATCTCGGCAAAACAGGTCCCTAAAAGGCTATATGCACACACAAAGAAATATTCTGCAGAAATCCACCGTGGCTCCTGCAAGCCAGATTTCTCATAGAAGCTGGAGACAATGCTGTGAATGTGTAGGTCAGCATTTGGGCTTTGCATTCTTTGAAACAACCGACAGCTAACCTTTCCCTGGGCATTAGTGTAGCTTCGCAGGGGCTGAAAAGGACATCCTGGGTCACCAAGCCGAACGTGAATGCATTGTAGCCGGATTTGCTAGTCCGGCTCTTAAGCCACTCCTGACAGTTGTTTATCTAGCCTCGCTTTGACCTACTGAGCCACAAAAGAAACTGTGTCTGTGGACCAGTTCCGAACGGTGGAGACTTTTTTTTTTGGGCTTCTAGCCAGAAATGCTGTGATGCAGGGAGCCTTCAGATGCGTGTTGTGAGGGTGTTGTATAATGTGGAACAACAGAAGCCTCAACAAGTTATCTAACAGGTTATCTCCCATTGCAGTTATCTAATATCGCAGAAATTCAGTAAGATGAAACCTTACCATTTCTTAAATGTTGTTGTTTAATAAAATACATCAGCCCTACTGAACTGATTGTTCAGAGCCCAGCTCCGAGGGCCTTCTAGCAGTTCCATCACTGCTGGAAGTGAAATTACAGGGACCCAGGCAGAGGGCCTTCTCGGTAGTGGCACCCACCATGTGGAACGTCCTCCCATCAGATGTCAAGGAGATAAAGACTTCACGACTTTTAGAAGGCATCTGAAGGCAGCCCTGTATCGGGAAGTTTTTAACGTTTGCCGTTTTATTATGTTTTTATATGTGCTGGAAGCCGCCCAGAGTGGCTGGGGCAGCCCGGCCAGATGGATGGTGTATAAGTAATAAATTTATTATTATTATTATTATTATTATTTATTCACCTGGGACAGATCAGGAAAGTGGCATAGCTCAGGGGTAGAGCATCTGTTTTGCATACAGAAGGTCCCATGTTCAGTCCCTGCCAACTCTATGTAGGGCTTGGAGAGAACCCTTCTCTGAAACCCTGTTGAGATGCTACCATTCCGTGTAGACCAGTGGTTCTCAACCTGTGGGTCCCCAGATGTTGTTGGACTACAACTCCCATCATCCCTGAGCTCTGGCCTTGTTAGCTAGGAGTGATGGAAGTTGTAGTTCAACAACATCTGGGGACCCACAGGTTGAGAAAGGCTGGTGTAGACAATACTAAGCTTGATGAACCAGTGTGTGCTGGTCCCGAGGGATAACCGTGAGGCCGGTCCGTGAGGCCAGTCCGTGGTCAAAGGTGCAACGTGGAGGCAGTCTGTAGTAGCTGAAGCTGGGTGTAGGGCAGGGAGTTGGGTGAAGTCAGGAGCTCCGGCAGAGAAGCAGGACAGGGTGCAGACAGGAACAGGCTACCGACAACGTTGCTCCCGCAACTTGGGACTGGGGCTGGCTGGCTTTTATCTGCCCTGAGGCATAGGGCGGCCCCGGTCCACAGGTGACTCGCCTCTCCTGGCCTGGAGGCGAGCACTCCTCCTGCGGGAACTTAGTTCCTTCCGCCTCTCTGCCCTGAGCCTCTGCAGCTCAGGAGGCTGGAGGGTTACCGGACCCAGAGGCAACCTCCTCTTCTCCTGACAGGGCTGAGAGTGGAGCACCTACAGGCAATGGGTCCTCCATCACCTCAGGAGCCAGAGCAGACTCAGCTGGTGCCTGCACCTGAGGACCCAGCACAGGTGAGGACCCTTCAGGCTCAAGCCCCAGCCCCGGCTCAGCTGGTTCTGGAGGCGGGGAATCCTGTGCAGGCTGGGATCCCTCAGGTTCAGCATCTGAGTCCGAATCCCAGGCCATCACACAGTGGTCCAACTCACTATAAGGCAGATTCCTGTGTTCCTGTCTCCCGCATGCAATGTAGCCATGCAAACCACCTGGAAGCAAGACTGTACTGTGCATTTTCTGTCGCAGTTCCACTCGCAGCTCCTCCGTTGCCGGGCCGCCTTCCGAGAATTTTCCAAGAGCAGATCACTTTCAAATACGACTACAATGCCAGAGCCACTCCCTGCATCCCCTATCAAGGGAAGGTAAGGCCATATGCATCCTGTGCTCTGGGCGTTCAGCAGGAAGCCAGAAGGATGTGTTTACCCCTAAGGCCTCCAGCACATTGTTCTGGGACTAGGGAATGTCATTGCGTGCGTTGCAGTCACCGGCTTTGGGTATTTGCAAACGGCATGCCTGCTGTCAAACCAGCCCGATGGCTTTAGAAAGACAGGGCAATGTCTTTTTTGCGACTTGGTTGCCTTACAAAAAAGATCCTGGGATGTTGTAGCAGAAGGCAAGAGGTGGGCAGGTGCTGGTCTTGACCTTTAAAGCCCTTTGTGGCTTAGGGCCCTCATATTTACGGGACCACCTCTCCTGGTATGCCCTGCAGAGGACCTTAAGGTCCATGAATAATCTTAGTTTAGAGGTCCCGGGCCCTAAGGAAGTCAGATTATCCTCTACCAGGGCCAGGGCCTTTTCAGTGATGGCTCCGACCTGGTGGAATGCTCTGTCCCATGAGACCAGGGCCCTGCAGGATTTAACCTCCTTCCATCGGGCCTGTAAGACAGAGCTATTCCTCCTGGCCTTTAATTTGAATTCAGCCTGAGCTTTTATTTCCCTTCTCTTCCCTCCCCCTCCCTTTTTATGAAGATAATCCACTCTGAGACTCCACAGCTAATTCTCCCCTGGCCTCCTCGCTGGCCCAAGTAGGACCAATTCAGCCAGCTAGCCCTGGGGATGATCTAATGCTTATTTCCCCTAAATTGATTTCTGAATTTTGAATTTTATTGTTATTCATGTTTTTATACTGTATTTTATTCTGCTTTTACAAGTGTTTGAAATTTGTTGTTAGCTGCCCTGAGCCAGGGTTTTGAACTGGGAAGGGCAGGGTATAAATAAAAATGTATTATTATTATTATTATTATTATTATTATTATTACCACTGTGATGTGAGGGACCAAGGACTTCCTACCACCCTCCACCTCAAAGACTAAATTCAGTGCAGGAGGAAGAGTTTTTTGTGGTTGTTAAACTTCCCCCTTCCCACATGCTGTGGTCCTGATGTAGTCCCTTTAAAGCCCTAAACGGTCTCAGCCCAGTATACCTGAAGGAGCATCTCCACCCCCATTGTTCAGCCTGGACACTGGGGTCCAGCTCTGAGGGCCTTCTGGCGGTTCCCTCACTGCGAGAAGTGAAGTTACAGGGAACCAGGCAGAGGGCCTTCTCGGTAGTGGCGCCCACCCTGTGGAACGCCCTCCCATCAGATGTCAAGGAAATAAACAACTACCTGTCTTTCAGAAGGCATCTGAAGGCAGCCCTGTTTAGGGAAGTTTCTAACGTTTGATGTTTTATCGTGTTTTTAATATTCTGCTGGGAGCCGCCCAAAGTGGCTGAGGAAACCCAGCCAGATGGATGGGGTATAAATAGTGAATTACTACTACTATTACTACTACTATGGGACGCAGGTGGCGCTGTGGGTTAAAGCCTCAGCACCTAGGACTTGCCGATCGAAAGGTCGGCGGTTCGAATCCCTGCGGCGGGGTGCGCTCCTGTCGTTCGGTCCCAGCGCCTGCCAACCTAGCAGTTCGAAAGCACCTTCGGGTGCAAGTAGATAAATAGGGACCGCTTACTAGCGGGAAGGTAAACGGCGTTCCGTGTTCTGCGCTGGCTCGCCGGGCTCAGGGGGGCTAACACCAATAAAATCATAGTAGAAACATAATAGGGGGCAAAAACAACAGCAGCAGCAACAACACCAATTTAAAATACAGGTTAAGATGACTCTTGAGGTGTCTTCCAACACTACAGACATGGTAAGAATTATTATCCCTCCGTATGCCTAGGACTGAGGCTCCTCCAGTGTCCCAGCTACATCATTGTTGCAATTATGGTTGTAAGCCACCCCCAGGGAAGGCATGAAGTCCGATAAGAAATTAAACTTCCGCTGAGATTCTCTGAAGCAGGGGTTTGCAGAGCTGGAGATTGCCAAAGGGCTGGATCCGGACCTCCCCCAAGCCCCACGGCCAGGGCCACTCAATTTCAATATCTTCAGTCTAGTAGGAGCTGCCTTTCAAAAACTTCTTTGGGACGTTAATTCCAGTGAAATTATAGTTTAGCAATTTGATTTTAGAGCAAACATTGCCTATTTGAAAAGCCACCCGGTTTCTGGTAATTTTGAGTATTCCTTGGTATCTCCCCAGTACCAAACTTTCTTTAATTTGGAGATAAGTGAAAAATGACAGGCTGTCTTCTGCTTCTATCAAAAGATGCTGGTTTTAAAGTCCACATTAATTTTGTCGTACCACAAATACCCATTCCATCCAGTCATGTCCTATTTCCAGGAACCACTCATTTCTCAGCTCCTTCATTAAAATTAAACAACAGGCTGCAAGGTACAATTTTACGTTGGTATGCCAATCCCACCCTTTCCTTTGCAACTTGTAATACTTTAACACGTGGTGTTTTTCCCCTTGCCATAAAAACTTGGTTTTTTGGATACCATTGTCTGAATGGTAAGTCATTAGCTATAATAGACATTGTTTGGAACAAAAACATCATTCTGGGCAATATATTCACATTTTATCACAAAAATTTGACCCAGTAGAGACAATTTTAATTTCTCCCATCCTAGCATATCTTTTTAAATGTCCGTCCATGCCTTAACATAATTATCTTTGTCTGTTTGACATTGTCTGTCAAGTGCTTCTGTACTGAGTGGACTTCTAAGTTGGTAACCAAGAAATGGTTATGGGATGAATCAGGATTAACACTGGAGCAGAGAGAGATTCCCACTGAATCAGGTTTCCAAATGGAGAACCTTGTTCTCTGAGACGTGCTGCAACCAAACAGAGCCCTGTTTGTTTCCACTTTGGCTTGTTGTTGTCTTCCACCCCCGCTTTTATATATATAAAATCAAATTAATCCTATTCTTCTCATGCAACCCTTAATGGCCAAAGTCATTTGGCGAGTGCTCATAAATCTTTGGCCTGCATCAGCCAGGGGTTTGAAATTGTATCCATAGCAACCCGTGTGGCAAGAAATAAAATTTGACGGGGATAGGCGCTGCCCTGCGGAAAAGAAAATGCCAGTTTGCAAGAGCACCGTAGCCATTTTCAAATAAAAAAAAGCAGAACTGGGGGGGGGGGCAGGAAAAGGGATGGCATTGGCAAGGTTTTGTCTCTTTCGTTTTCACCTGTTGCTTTCCCCCGTCCACCCACGACGCCTTTTCTTGTTTTGCAAAGCAGGCAAGATGATGGCTCAGCCGTTCTTTTTGCTCCCAGCTACATCTCAGCCCCTGTTGGCCAGAGGAGAGGCCTGAGAGAGAGAGACCAGCCAGCGCATTAGCTAATAAATAAATTCAGCTCACAGCTGCATCTCCTCACCGCCGAAGTCCCCCTGCTTAACGTCAACCTTGTTTCCCTTTCCAGAAACGCGGCGCTTTTGTGTGGACGAAGATAAAACCGGAGAAGGGGGAGTCGGTTCCTGAGGGGATCAGAACCCAGCCGGGCGCTGGGGGACCGGAGATGCTGGAACAGCCAAAAGCAGAGAAAGGGGACTCAGCGGAAAGCTGCATGACCTCAGCCGGCCCCCGCCTGCCAGATTCCCCAGAGACGCCCCCAGACTCCAACCTACGCTTATCAGAAGCAGATAGCGGCGCAGGAGCCAAAACAGATCCCGGAGCCCCGGAGAAAGGACAGGAGGAGGGTTCAGGGATTTCTCAGGCAGGGGAAGTGGATGTAAGCCATCCCTCTGGGGAGAAAAGGCCTCTCAGCCCACCAAAGATGGGCTACCTTGAGAAACAGCAGGAGGACCCCCCCATCCATGAAGCCACACAGTCCCCGGCAGAAATTCAGAAGGCCTAAGAGGTCCAAGCGCGGGGGCTGGCCTGGTGTAATTTCAGTAACGCCAAACACAAACTGACACCAGCAAACGGTCTGAGGCGACGCGCTCTCGCCTTTACATAACAACAGCTGCAACCTGCTTTGATGCCTCTTGAAAATGAGAGTCCTATATTTATATATATACATAAAATCCTATGAAACTTTTATTATGGTTTCTCTCCGCCATTGCAGTTAGGTTATTTCCCTACCCGCCCCCTCAAATCAAAATTATCTGGATTATCTGCTCTCCTGAATATCAAGAGCGACTAAGGACGCCGCTAATGAATAATGAGCAATTAATGTCAACAATTGTGTTGCTTTGCTTCCGACATTTTGACTCTTTGCAAGCGTTGGGTGGTGGGGTGTTTTGGGTTCCTGTCTGATACCTTTAAAGTGTGGCTTCTTGGCAGGAACGGCAAGCAGATCCTAGCAGTAAATTTTTTTGGATGTGTTGCGTTGTCATCCTGTGATGAGCAGAAGCCATTGTTATTTGTGTCGGAAACAGTGACAGAGGAGACAATGTCCATAAGAATGTAAGTTATGTTCCGTTGCTCAGCCCAGTCAGGAAGGACAGGGTTACGACAACCTTCACTTTTTGCTCTAACAGTTTCCTGGAATGGATTTGTTCTCAAGGTCAGGGCTGCAGATCTGATTTAAAATCTGCATACAGATTCCTCTTCACGGCACCCACAATGCTATACCTTGCATTTCACACTTTTAGCAATGAGCAGGGGTCAGCAAACTTTTTCAGCTGGAGGCCGGTCCACTGTCCCTCAGACCTTGTGGGGGACCGGACTATGTTTTGAAGGGGGAAAATGAACGAATTCCTATGCCCCACAAATAACCCAGAGATGCAGTTTAAATAAAAGGACACATTCTACTCATGTAAATACAGGCAGATCCCCGGACCATCCATGGGCCGGATTTAGAAGGCAATTGGGCCGCATCCGGCCCCCGGGCCTTAGTTTGCCTACCCATGCTTATGAGTGGCAGAATATATGAAATGTGCATAATATCTCTGTTCTTCAGTGGAGATGAACTATTACCTATCCTTATTGAAAGATGCTTGCCATCTCCTTCCCATTTCCATTTCTTCTTTCTGCTCACTCAGAAAGTGCATATACTCATTCACAGAGAAAGAGATGTGCCATATAATGTGTTTAGCATGTCTAGTATCTTAAAAAGTGGAAACTGCAACAGAATTCCATTTGAGATGCCAGCCGGCCATGCAAGAGACTCCATTCTAGTCCCTTCCTCACCCAATGTTTCTGTCCTACCATCAACAACAGGCAGTGAACATTACATGCCCACTGAGCATGTTCAGTCCTTAGTGAACCGTTTGGGGGCTTCCTCCAACTTTTCCCCAACATGTCTTTTTTGTACTTCTGCAGACCTCAGAATTCCCCCCAGCCTGCTGATATACCTCCCTCTTGTTTGTGAGTGTTGCCGTTTTAGTTATATGGGGTATTTTTGATAGGTAAGTGTGTGGCTCCATTAAACAAATCCCTTACTAATGATCTCCGGAGGGGAGAATCAGTTTTCAGGATACTTTACTTGGAGTCGTTCTATAAACCCTGGAGGTTAATTTCTAAGTATACCCATTTTTTTACAAACAAATACATTTTCCAACACTTTTGAAGAACAGGGAAATTCTATGAGATAAACCTCGAAAGAGACTGCATTCAACTCAAAGGTCCGTAAAGCCCAGTATCCTGTTTCCAGCAGTGGCAAGCCAAATTCTTTGGAGAAACTTAGGGAGGAGGCCTTAAAGGCAACAACATTAGAATCACAGAATCAGAGAACTGTAGAGTTAGAAAGGGCCTTGTGGGTCATCTAGTTCAATCTCCTGCAATGCAGGAATATGCAGCTGTCCCATACGGGAATCGAACTCATGACCTTGGCATTATCAGCACCACGCTCTAACCAACTGAGCCACCTCCAGACCACAAAGAAGCGTAGGATCTCTGTACATGGGGTTATCAGGACTGACGCCTCACCCTCTATGGATTTCTCTCTTTTTAAAAAGCTTCTTAAGGCTATATGTGCTAGATGCTTGTGTAGCAAATGTACCTAGAGGGGGAACAGGATTGTCTGCTCTTCCCACCTCCTATGTGCAACTAGCATAAAAGCTTAGATGCATGCAAGTTATATATGTGTAGGGTTTGTCTTCACCATAAGGAACTCTGTCAGTCCTACCTACATATATGGACTGTCTCCTATATGCAATCCACGTTGACAGTCCTTAAGGCTGGTCATCGCGTCTAGAGGCAATGAATTCTATTGACCTAGCCGTTCAATTGTGGGAACATTAAATGTTGATGCAGCCGGTCCTTGCTTTTCCTGGGGACGCCCATCCACTCAGGCAAATGTGAAAGTATTCTCTTTGAATGTTCAGGGATGCAGGAGGGGATATATTGTTTGATTATACCCTTTTCCAACTTGTGTTAACAAGTTCAACAATTTAGCAGAGTAACATTCCCCTTTTTAAACTTGCAGCGGATGCGTTTGCTCAGGCTCGCTAAAGCCTCTATAATGACTGTTCTGGTATTTTCCCCTTATTCCCTCATAAAAGATAAGACACGACACAGTCTTCTATAAAAGTATAAAAAGGTTTACTCACACATCATTCTGTTCACAATAGGGTCCCAGGAGGCAGACTTAGCTTAGAAAAGCTTCTCTTAGCTAGAAGCCAAGAGAGCATCTTTGGCTAAGCAGACGTTGCTTCTTCGATGCATGTAGTCATCATGAGAGAGAGATGGCTGCCCTGCCCTGTGCTTTTGTCGTTACCCTGCCCATCTGGCTGGGTTTTCCCAGCCACTCTGGGTGGCTTCCAGCAAAATATTAAAATACAATAATTCATCAAATATTAAAAGTCAAAGAGAGAATGGCATCAAGAGGAAGATGGCTGTGTGGCTGGCCCTTTTACAGGGTTTCACAAGGTCATGCCCATCTACCTGGTCACAGGCAGGGGGAGGATGCTCCAGACAGGTGTGACAGAAAGTCCTCCTGGGTGGAGTAACATCCCCTTGTGTGTCCACTCTGGGCAAACAGGAAATGTTGTACTTGACTGCTTATGTTACATCCCGCAGGACTTTCCTCCAGTCATGCTTGGGGTCAACAGGCGCTGGAAAATGTGCTTAGGGCTCTTTGACTGAGGCTCTTCCCCAAACTTCTACCGATGCTCTCAGCACAGCAATGATTGAGCGCTGCTAAAATGTCCGCCGTGGGAAGCACCCCTGAAAAACTGTACGTGCAGGATTACTGGTTTGGAAGCCAAAGAGCATTCCCATGCCTTTAAAACCTCCCAGATACGGCAGGAAGCAAGGCAGCTGCAGTTTATTGCCTGTTCCCACCCAGCCCCTGTTCTTCCCCGACCTGGTGCAACTGACTGGGGCTACAGATATGCCACACGGCAAGCAGCAGGGCCCGGGAAGAGGCTGGGCAGGAGAAGGCCCTGCCACAATGGAAGATCTGAATGCTCTGCAGGGGACGGGGTGCTCAAAATAACCTATTTCTGGAGGGGTGGGAGAGCAGTTCTGACTGCTTGAGTCCCCACCGTTGCGCAGCAATATCTGCTGCATACGCCATAAACTATTTCAGTGTTTTAAACAACCAGATGGCCTGCAGGGAGTCTTCATTTTCTCAACAGTTCTGCCTATAAAGTTTACAGCTGCAACAGTATGCCTCTCCCTTCTCTATTCACTTTTGAGATCTGTCAGTCTCGGTTCTCTCAGTTTCTCATTTTTCTCTCTCTCATTCTACATATTTCTGCAGCAATTTGCAATCTGTTTTTTAAAAAAAACAAAAACAAAACTTCATAAATTCTTCGGCATTTTGGTGCAAACGTTTCCTAATAAACGCAATCATGTATGCCGTTTTGACGAATGCGCACATTTTTGCAAGTGATTTCTCCTAATATAACACATTTTTGTATGTTAGCGTCGCTGCTGACAGCTGAAAATCATACTCCCTGAAGTCGCTGCTGCTGCTGTTATAATTATTGTTAAAAATATTTTAGGATGCCTTCTAGGGTCAGTTCCAACTTTCAACATATAATTAAAACAACTAAAATAAACCAGAAACACCATAAAGACAGCAGTAGGAGGAATTCTTAACAATATCATAGCAATGTGAGCAGCATTCATCACTGAAATCAAGCAAAATGGTTATGTCCATTGAAATCTGGTTAAATAATATTTGGAACTTGGAACTGGAATATTTGGAATATTTGGAACTGTGGCCTTACGTACCACAGAAAGGTAATTAAAGGCACTTCAAGGATAGACACTTTTCGTGAGACTTGGCTTCCTTCCTTTTCCTTTGTAAATGAGACAGGAGATACTTTTATTCCACCCCAAACACAAGAATCTCCATGGGGAGGATATTTGAATTGGTAATACATAAATAGATGCATTGCTTGTGTGCTGCGTACTTCATATGAAACTTAATTAGAACGTACCACTGGACAAGTTACTGTAGTCATGTGTTGTTCTTGTATTTACATGAAAAGCAATACAAATTATTGGAGGGGAGAATACATATACATAACATACAATGCCATATACTGGACTTACCCATAGCAGCTGCAATAATTTAGCTATATGCCATAATGAAAACAAAAGAAATGTTCAGAGCAGAGCTGCAAATTTAGCTTCCTGCCCGCCAGCAGGAATAAGGAGACACACAACGTAATGTAGCTTTTCATCACCAGACAGCAATATATACGTACATAAATCCTCTAGGTGTAATAACAAAAGCCTTCCTGAAACTCAGTTCGTGGTGTATTCACATTACCAGCTGGTTTTGGGGGGAAATGCATCAAAACGCAGTATTTCCGAAGAAGTGTCAGGATAGATATGGATTGTGCTAATGTCATACGTACAGGAAATGAGAATGTGCACACAGCCTGAGACATATTTTTTTTCAAAAACATCTCCCTTACTTGAGAAGACCAAACCCACCCATAGCTGTCAAGCGTCCCTTATTTGGCGGGACAGTCCCTTATCCTAGCGCCATGTCCTGCTGTTGTCCCTTATTGGTGATGTCCCTTAAATAAGCTACTGAAGGTAATGGCGCCCTTTTTATGTCCAGCTGTGCTTTGTCAGCAACAAATTGTTGCTGTTTTTTGTGTTGAATATGTATATGGTAATTTATGGACCTAATAGGT